TTAAATAGACCGAAACATAACTTTCAAATACAGACATACTTTGCTTTATTGTGTTTTTGATAAATCAACGGTTTGTGGCAACCCTGAGTTTTCCCGCAAGTCTACTGGCACCATTTTTCCAACAGCATTTGCTCATTTCTGTGTTTTCGTGTCACATTTTGGTAATTTTCACAATATTTCTATCTTTTTCAATGTAATTGTATTTGTTGTGGTGCTCTGTGATTTTTTTTTTTAATTGAAGGATAGTTGGTTTACAATGTTGTGTTAATTTCTGGTGTACAGCATCATGATTCAGTTATGCATATATATACATTCCTTTTCGTATTCTTTTTCATTATAGGCCATTACAAGGTGTTGAATATAGTTCCCTGTGCTGTTCAGTAGGACCTTGTTGTTTATTCTATATATAATACTTATACTCTGCAAATCCTGAGCTCCCAGTTTATCCCTCCCCACTCCCTTTCCCCCAGTAACCATAAATTTGTTTTCTATGTCTGTGAGTCTATTTCTGCTTTGTAAATAAGTTGATTTGTGTCACTTTTTTAAGATTCCACATATAATTGATATCATATGGTATTTTTCTTTCTCTTTCTGGCTTACCTCACTTAGTATGACAATATCCAGTTCCTTTCATGTTGCAAATAGCATTATTTTATTCTTTTTTAATCACTGAGTAGTATTCCATTAAATATATATATACATATATATGTGTATATATATATATATATATATATATATACACACACACACATATATATATATATGCACACATAGATACAACTTCTTTATCCAGTCATCTGTCAATGGACATTTAGGTTGCTTCCATGCCTTGGCTATTGTAAATATTGCTGCTATGAACATTAGGGTACATGTATCTTTTCAAATTAGAGTTTCCTTTGAATATATGCCCAGGAGTGGGATAACTAGATTATAGAGTAAGTTTATTTTCAGTTTTTTAAGGTATCTCCATACTATTTTCCACAGTGGCTGCACCAGACTACATTCTCAAGAACAGTGTAGGCGGGTTTCCTTTTCTCCACACCCTCTCCAGCATTTACTGTTTGTTGATTTTCTACTGACAGCCATTCTGACTGATGTGAGGTGATATCTCCTTGTAGTTTTGGTTTGCATTTTTCTGATAATTAGCAATATTGAGTATTTTTTCATGTGCCTATTGGCCATTTGTATGTCTTCATTAGAGAAATGTTTGTTTAGGTCTTCTGCCCATTTTGGGATTGGGTTGTTTGTTTTTCTTATTGATCTGTGATTTTTGATGTTACTACCACCACTTGTTGAAGGCTCAGATGACGGGTAGCTTTTTTTAGCAATAAAGTATTTTTAATTCAAGGCGTGTACATGGTTTTTTTAGACATAATGCTATTCACACTTACTAAACTACAGTATAGTGTAAACATAACTTTTATATACACTGGAATACCAAAAAATTTGTGTGAGTTGCTTTTTTGGCAGCACTCACTTTATTGGGGGTGGTTTGGAACCGAGCCCACAACAGCTCCGAGGTATGCTTGTTCTTTAACCATCTTAGTGGTAGCTGAAAAGGACAAAAATACTAGTTTCTTTTGATCATTATTGGTTATGGACCAACAATGGTTTCTTACGTTTGGGTAGTGGTAAATGCAATTGAAGCATGAACATTTAAAAGATGAATTGATTTGGCTTGCTGCCCCTTAGCAGTTTAGGTGAAATGATCTGCTGTGTACCCTTCTGAAGTTACTGGCTGTGAACTATGAGGGCCTAGCTGTGTTCATTCTGGTAGGATTTGCAATGTGTGCCTGCAGGAGGAAGACAGGAAGGAAGCTGTATTGAGTGATAATGTGCCAAGAACCAGACAGGGCCATTCCTGAGACAAGCTTGAGGGGTAAGAGTGATTATCTGCGCTTTAAGAAGAGGCTTAGAGAGGTTAAGTCCCTGCCAGCTGGGGTGGGGCCGGGAGAAACGTGGGCTTCAGACTCCAAAGTTACGCTTTTTCACGGGGCCACACTGGCCAGCGTGAACCCAAACATAGGGGAAAAATTTAAATAAACAAGCCTAAAGCTGGGTGGTTCTGCAGTGGCATGGCAAAATGTTAAAGCTGATTCAGTAATTTAACAACTATTCACAGATCACTGAGATTCAAAGGTGTACATCAGAGGTTGCTTGGATAGGCTGGAAGCACAGTGCCTAGTTAACAAGTATTAAAAGATTATTTCCGAAAAGGGATAGTTGTAACTCTCCTACAAATATAAAAATGAAAACATGCTAAAGTTCGATTAACTCGCTGATGAGGAAACTGAGAAGGCTGTTAGAATCAGATCAATGGAGAATCCAAAGAATTGGTACATTCATAGATCAGGAATGTTGAAATGGAGGTAAAACTGGTTTTCCGTGGAGGATTGGGGAAGAAAGCTTATCTTCGTTGGCTCGAACTCATCTTCACGTCTACAGATGAGCATCATTTCACATTGCCTGTCAGTTACTACAGTTACAGAGTTATAAAATAGCTCTCGAGCAATGCCTAGTTTTTTCTTGAAGGACACATTTTTTCCTCCACCTCTGCCTCCAGGCCTTTGATCAGCTAAGCACTACATTTCAGTGGCTAGATGCGATGGGTCAACTTTCTGTCGAAGTTGTCCGCCAGTGTGATGGTTTTGAGAGGCGTATTCCTCCAGCTGCATCTGAGACCAGACTGATTTAACCATAGACACACGGAGAATAAACAGTCTGGGAGGGGGTGATCAATTCATCAGCAAATATTTCATGCAAGTCAAGAGAGAAGGACGCCTTATGTGATAAAATGGAATCTGAAGCATGTATCTTAAAGACTGCTTGCACCCTTCCTCGCGATGGTTTAGCAGAACACTTCGGGTCTGCACATTGAATATCTGGACCTAATTCACCTTTTGAAGTTGTGTGGAGTACTTCATTTCAGTGAAGGTTCCGTGGTTTGGGTTTTGGTGGGGAAATACATGCAGGATTACGAGTAGGTGACAGGTGACAGGGCTGCTTCATACTTTTCTGAAATTCTAAATCACTTAATACAAAATTCGGGAGGAACTAAATTCGATTATTTTAATAACACTCAGAAGGAAGTGTTTTTTGACATTTTTACCTCCCTGATCATCTGTATTTTAGAAAGATCTAAATCTCATTATCTATTTTTTGCTCCATGACATTCCAAAGAGGGTGGCTGCAGAAGGGGGTGGGTTCCAGTGTATGAAGCCATCGGGAGGGGGTGAGGTTTGGTGCATATAAAGTCGTTGTTCCTGACAGATCAGTTCTGAACGAGGAGGACTCAGACCCTGGTGAGAGGAAGGGGCTTTGTGACAGGCACTCACAGCAGCTGGCTGAGAAGGAGCGGAAGTTGGATCTGAAGGTAAGAACCTGGATTTAGTTGTAGAAGGAAGTAAGTTTAGGGCACAGAAGGAAACTGTAACTCTGATCCTGTCTGCATTTTTTTGAGGAATGTTAGATGTGGCCATACTTACAGAGTTCGTTGGCCTGCCCTAGCTTTTTGATTTATGGGCACTGTTTTCATGCTAAATATTCTGGGACAGATCCCGTTTCAAAGATGCCTTTCTACTTGCAGATTAAAGTGAAACCTTGCCCCAGCGCAGAATTTGGAAAAACCTTAATTGTTGCACCAGTAGGAAAAGCTCAGGGCTTGGGGAGTTCTACACAGTAAAATGCTTTGCTTTGTGGGCAAGGGGCAGGGGCAGGGGGCGGGGGAAGAGGAGGATGCATTTTTTTTAATTCATGTATGATTTACATGCAATATAAAGGATAGATTTTAAGTTTAGTGTTTATAATTGTACACAGCCATGTAACTATGTCCCATCAAGACATAGGATGTCTCGTCACTCCCAGAAAGTTCCCTCATTCTCCTTTACAAACAGTTCCCACCCCCAACCCCCCCACATCTCAGAGGTGACCAGTGTTCTGATTTCTGTCAGCCTCGGAATGGTACAGGCTGTCCTTCTTGTGTCTGGATTTTTTTTTAGGCAGCAAAATATTTGAGATTTATTTATTTGTATTGTTTCACGTATCAGTGATTTGTTCTTTTTCTCCCCAAATCATCTTAAAATACAGTATAGTTTAATTACATACAATGAAATGCACATAAAATGTAAATGAACTTTGACAAATGTGTGTACGTTTGTAATCACTGCCACAATCAAGATACAGAGCATTTTCATCACTCCAGAAGGTTCCCTTGCTCTCCACTGCAGTCTCTACCCTGTCCCCAAGTCCAGGCAACCACTGACCCAGTTCCTATAACTGTAGATTGGTTTTGCTTGTTTTAGGACAATACTTGTATAGGGAGTCATACAGTTTGAGTCTGGATGCTTTGGCACAGTGCGATAATTTTCATATTCACCCAAGTTTTTGCAGTAATTCATTCCTTTCAGTTGCTGATTAAATCAGTACTCATTGCTTAAATATACAATATTGTTTATTCATTCACCTTTTACTAGACATCTCAGTTGCTTCCCATATTTTTCACTGTTATGAATACATGAACGTTATTATACAGATGCCGAAAGCTGTTCCAAAGAGTTGGTACCATTTCACATCCCCCACAAGCGATGTGTATGAACCCAGTTGCTCTAAATCTTTGTGAGCATTTGATGTGCTAGTGTGTTTGTACTTGGGCATTCTAATGGTAGCCATGTGTTTTCTCTGGTTTTCCTTTCCAGTTTCTTTTTTTTTTCTTTTCTCTTTTAATTTTTTTTTAGTTGAAGTATAGTCTGTTTACAATGTTGTGTTAATTTCTGGTGTACAGCATAGTGATTCAGTTATGCATATTATATACATATTCCTTTTCAAATTCTTTTTCATTATAAGCTATTACATACACGATATTGAATATAGTTGCCTGAACTATATAGTAGGACCTTGTTGTTTATCTGTTTTATATATGGTAGTCAGTTTGCAAATCTTGAACTCTCGATTTATCCCTCCACCCACCTCCTTCCCCTCTGGTAACCGTCAGCCACCAGGCTATGGGGTGAACCAAGTGCTTGGCAAGGAATCCCTGACTTGCTGGGGGGCAGAGGAGCAGCCAGACGTTGGCAGCTGAGAGGCTCAGAGTCTCCCATCAGGCAGCGGGCAGGGACCGTGGCTGTGGCTCTGAAGGCTGGAGAATTGCCACCAGCTGAGACACTGTCTCCGAAAGGATCTAGGAGCTCCCGCTGCCCCTACACCAGGAAACTCCAACCTCTCTGCGTGGTCCTTCTGGGTTAAAGGACTCCTGCTAATGTTTGTTTAGATGCCTTCTCTCATTTTCTCTGGCAGAAAAGCTAGCTTTGGGGCATGTGTTTGTTTCCAGGGGAAGGGGCTGGACAAAGGCGAGGGAGAAGCAAACCCAGCGTCCTAGGGCTCAAGGATGAGCCCCCCCCCCCCCCGGGTGCTTCTCAGCTGTTTTCAGCTGAGGTCTCATGTTCTCCCCAAGCCTGAATCACAATGGGGCCTGCAACATGGAGAGAGCAGAGGGAAGGGAAGTGAGGTGTGTTTGATCAGCGGCTCTGTGCCCAGCATGGCGCCAAGTCCTCTCCAGGTGTCAGAGCACCCCAAGCCCACAAAAGCCCCACACACACGGGTAGCACAGTTATCGTGTTTTACAGATGAGCAGCTGAACGCGGGGCACTTGTAGAGTTGGAAACCTCCCTGGCCTTTGCCTGAAGCTATAGGAACTGCACTCAGGAGGCCGAGACAGAGCTTTCCTGCTTCTCAGAGGTGAGGTTTGACTTCCATCCTCTTCCTTCTACGAGGCTTTCTGTGTGTCAGGCACAGGGCACTCTTCCAGGCACAGGGGTAGCGCAGTGAGCCAAACAGACCAAAGAGCCTGCCCTCCTGCTCACACGCGAGCCGGGCATATTCTGTCCTTTCCTGCTTGCCCTTCCCACCTCCTCCAGGGGCAGCACTTGTACAGCAGTTAAGGCATGAAGACAGGTAGCCCAGGGACTCTAGCAGCCCAGCCACCGTGAGCATCGCCCTAGGTCTCTGAGATGCACGGACAAGCTCGGAGTTAGTGCACTATCCATGGTCAGCATAGACGGAGAGAATGTTCCAGATGGAGAGTCAGCAGTTGCTACCCTATTAAGACCACCCTTTGAAAGATGGCCAAGCTTTAGTAACTGCCTACCCAGGATAGCCTCTTCTACAAGAACGTTACTCTCAGAGAGAGAAGGTTCCAGCAAACCCAGGTAGCAACTCAGGAAGGAGAGAAACCTCATGGCTGAGGGAGGGGCTGGAGGACCATCAGCTCCAATCTGCTCGTGGCAAAACGTTCACATCATCAGTCTTGTGCTGTCATCCAGTTCCCTGCCCTCCTTCCCGTTGTCTCTGTGCAGGTCACGAGGGTTTTGTTGACCGAAACAGAAACAGAACTTACTTTATTTAACTTAAGAGCAGAAATGCGCAGCTGTCTGGGGCCACCTTGTGAAAGGATAGGGTGGGTGCCAGACCAGTGGTGCGACCCAGTGCCCCCCCACACAACAACCACCTCCCCATCTCCTAGCGAAATTCCCACCCCATCCGGGTGACTTGCTCTCCTGGGGTGAGCATCTTCTTCCCTCTCAGCAGCCCTCTTTCAAACTGTAATTGCCCCTGGAAGCTCTGTGTCTTAAGCCCTGACCTTCAGTGTGAATGTGCCCATAAAATCACTCTCTTCCCTCACTGTGGGGAGAGGTTGTCATTAAGTTAGTAAGAGTCGCCGAGGAAGAAGGGCCACCAGAATGAGGCCGAGTGGAGCAGGTGAGAGGACCCTGATGGGCATCAGGGAGACCTGGATTCAAATCTTGACCACGTGGTTTAAACCCAGCTGTTGGGCATCTTTGATCCCCCATATACTCACCTGGGAATTTGGGGAAGTAATGCACATAATATATCATATGTACATATATACACACATATATTACAGTTATTGTGAGGGCTTAATTAGGTTACATGCAGAAAAGCATCGTACCCACAGCAGGTTAGTTTCTTTCCTATAAATGATCTCAGAGAACTTAACCACGTCCAACACCACCAAAAATGTGTCTGCTTTGCAAAGTAAAGCTTGATCTGAAATAAGAAGGAATGAGAGTGAATTTTCCTTTTGCACCTTGTAAACCACGTGAAAAAGCAAGATGTTTCCAGATGTGGCCACCATAAAGTAAGCTGTTGTTCTCATTTTTCTGTGCATTGACAAATGCGATCCTCCACTGAACTTTTGATCTGAAATTTAAATTTCAAGCAATTACATTTCTGGGTGAGGAAAAAGGTATACACTGTGTATGAACTATTAATTAGCAACCTGCCCCATCAAGTGGTACAAAACTACAGACTTAGAGGAGAAATGGGCCCCATCATGAAGAAAAGTGGAGTGACAGTCTAAGGAGTGATGCCTTCTGTTCCCAGGAGAGAGTTGGCACCAGTATGGAAAAGGGGGGAAATACGTAAAAGGGGGCAGGTCAGATCTTTATCCAGCTTAATTTTTTTAACTGAAGAATTATGAATTCTCAGGTGAGAGACACCCAACGGAAATGTCTATTATATGTCAAGCACAACACTGAGCAAGGCATAGTCTAATGGAGGGATGAGTGTGTAAATGAACACATGCCATGCAGTGTGTTAATATTTCTGCGTCCTAGGTTTCAGTGCAAAACACAGGGGGCAGATAATAGAAGCTGTGAGCAACTCAGTCTGTGTTCTCTTGAGTTTGACCTAGAAGGTCACGTACAGGCGTACCTTGTTCTGTTGCACTTTGCTTTCGTGCACTTTGCAAATACAGAGTTCTTTACAAATTGAAAGTCTGTGGCAACCTTGCCTTGAGCAAGACTGTCAGCACCACTTTCCCAACAGCATTTGCTCACTTCATGTCTCCGTGTCACATTTTGGTAATTCTCACAATACTTCAAACTTTTTCAATTTTTACTGTGTTTGTCATAGTGATCTGTGCTTAGTGATCTTTGATATTAATTGCAAAAAGATTACAGCTCGCAGAAGACTCAAATGATGGGTAGCATTTTTTTTTGCAGTAAAGTATCTTTTAATTAAGGTATGTATATTGCTTTGTTAGACTTGATGCTATTGCACACTTAATAGACAACAGTACAGTGTAAACATAATTTTTATATGCACTGGGAAACCACATAATTTGTGTGACTTGCTATATTGTGATAGTTGCTTTGTTGCAGTTGTCTGAAACCAAATCTGCAAATACCTCTGAGATCTGCCTATACACGAATAATTCACTATCCAATGTTTTGCTTACTTTCAAGCATTCATTGGCCCATCATTTACCATTTAGTAGTAGCACTCATTACCATGTTTATGATGGAGAACTCTAAAGAAGTGGGACTCTCCCCCCAGCAATAATGAATAAGAAGTTTGTTGACAAAGGAGGGTTGACTGGTTCCCCTAGGGAATATTTGAGAGTTACCCATCCCTTACTTTTTCTTGTCAGCTGCAGATGGATGAAGCTTTATCCTTCCATAAAACATGTAGAAATCAACTTCTCATGACATCCAAGATGCCAACAAGAATAAACATCAGTTGATTTTGGTTTTGTTTCCATTTGACCAGCCATGAGTTGTTTCCAAGCTTCACCGAGCCATTCCTGGATTTATCCCACTGTGATCCTCTGCCTGTTTGGATTTTTCTCCACAATGAGACCCTCAGAACCCTTCCTTATGCCGTATTTATCTGGACCAGATAAAAACCTGACCAGTGCAGAGGTAAGTTAATATACATACATATCTTAACGTGGTTTAATCTTAACAGGACTTGAACGAGGACATACAGTCAGGGCTTCATTCAGTTGGAAGTAAGATTAACACACTGACTTCAACGAACGCTCTGTTTTCATGATATTTGTTATTTTATAGAACCGTTCAAGCTAGTCTTTCTTCCTCACACTTGCAGAAATGGGAAACCAAAACCCATTACCTGTGTAATAAATATTTTCACTTTTGTCGAGTCCTAACATTAGTCTTGATGCATGGGGACATGTTAAGTCTTCATTGATTCTGTTATACTAATCCTAAAATAAAATCATTGCCGGGCACAGGACCTAGTCCAAGTAAACTTTCAGGCTGCTGAAATATAAGTAGACTCTGTTAAAGAATTATAGTGTTTCTTTAGGACACTTAGTTTTGAAAAACTCTTCCTTAGCAGGTGAGACATTAACAGCTTTATCTTCCCCAGAAGTCTCAATTCTCTTACTTAAAAGATCCACCTCTTTTTTTTATGACAAGTGCAACAGGAATGTGGACTGACCCAGCAGGAAAATTACCCTGGGTCGGTTTCATAATCTCCAGTCATAGTTAAGAAGACACTACCGTGTGTGGCTTCACCTGGAAGGCTCAGGGATGCTGGTTTATTGGGTGATGCGGTGGTAAGGACAGGAGGGAAAACTTACTCTGCTGAAGCATAAAATCACTTCAGGGCGACTCTCAAAGTTTCCCAGATGGCAGCACATCGTTATTAAGACAAAGCAAACGACAGATAGGGGTCCAGAATCAGCCAGTGAACCCAGAGGGTCCTGATAATGCAACCACTATGGATCAGTTAGGTACCCATCCTCAGAGGCACAGCTCAGTCACACTAGCCTGTCAAGTCACTGAACTTTCCTTTGTCATTGACACTTGGACCCACTGACAATGCCAGAAAAAACAGTGGAGGCACAGAACAAGGAGTAGTGCAACTGACCCGCACCTGCACCCATCATGCCCCAAAGATCAGCAACTTCCACAGTCCTTTCTTTCTAAGAATGAACATTGAGGTCCCGTGCATTTCTGACTAAAGCCATGAGATGACCCATATTCAGCTGAGGCCAGAATCGAGTAAGCGGAGACTAATCAGTAGAATTGGAGAGGAAGTGGGTTGGGAGCCCAGCAAACTCGGCCAGGAAGGAGATGAAATGCATTGCTGGTTCCCACACCGTAACTCTGCTGTCTTCATGTGTGTGTTCATCCAGACTTTGGGAGAGCTAAGATTTTTGACATAATGACGAATCACATCACAATAAAAGGTGTTGGATTCTTCTAACATGGTAGCTGCTTTATCTAATGTTGTTAATCTTCAAACAAGAAGAAAATAATAATTTTTAATAGCCTGAAAAACCCAGATATGTCTGTTGAATAATAATTTTTAATAATTTACAGGCAGACCTCAGAGATATTGCAAGTTTGGCTCCAGATCGCTGCAATAAAGCGAGTCACATGAATTTTTTGGTTTCCCAGTGCATAAAAAAGTTATGTTTACCCTAGATTATAATCTATTAAGTGTTTAATAGCATTATGACTAAAAAAGTATATACCTTAATTTTTTAAATATCGCTAAAAAATTGCCAAAACAATTATAGTAGTAACATTAAAGGTCACCAATCACAGATCACCATAACAAATATAATAACAATGGGAAAGTTTGAAATATTGCAAGAATTACCAAAAGTGATACAGAGACATGAAGTAAGCAAATGCTGTTAGAAAAATGGCAGCAGTCTTGTTCAACACAGGTTGCCACAAAGTTGTAAACAAACACAGTATCTGCAAGGTGCAGTAAAGCAAAATGCAATAAAACGAGATATGCCTGGACTCTGGTATACACGCTGTAATAAACTTAATATAGTTCAGATTACACATTAAGCCAAGATATTCTTCTACTGGGATGCATGTATGTTTATAAATTGGGGTTTTTGGGGGTGATGGGGGAAGGTGCTCTCCTTTCCTAGCAGTTTCCTTGAAAATCAGTTTTCTGTTGTGCCTTTTCATAATATGAAGAATACCACATCTGATTGGATGCAGAATTTGATGTTGGGTAAGCCACATGTACCTTAGTAATACGCGTATCTGAGAAAGGAAACCCTTCTCACTTCCTGGTGCCTCCCAGTCACACGACCCACTTTTCAACTTTGCAGCTCACAAAGGAGGTCTTCCCCGTGTGGACGTATTCCTACCTGGTGCTGCTGCTCCCGGTGTTCATCCTCACCGATTACGTCCGCTACAAGCCGGTCATCCTCCTGCAAGGCCTTAGCTTCATCACGACCTGGCTGCTGCTCTTGTTTGGCCAAGGAGTGAGGACCATGCAGGTTGTAGAGTTCTTCTACGGGATGGTCACCGCCACTGAGGTGGCCTACTACGCCTACATCTACAGCGTGGTCAGCCCGGAGCACTACCAGAAAGTAAGCGGCTGCTGCCGGAGCGCCACGCTGGTGGCCTACACGGTGGCCTCTGTGCTGGCCCAGCTCTTGGTGTCCCTGGCCAGCCTGTCATACTTCTACCTCAACGTCATATCCTTGGCCTCTGTCTCCACGGCCTTCCTTTTCTCACTTTTCCTACCAATGCCTCAGAAGAGCATGTTTTTTCATGCCAAACCCAGCAAGGAAGCCCCTCCAAAGCCACCAGGAGGGGATGTTGTCTCAGAGGAACCTCAGAAGGATCCCAAACCAGTCTGCCAAGAACTATACACCATTTCAGGCAACCCCGGTATTGGCCAGCAGAGCAGCCCAAAGCCAGAAAATGTCGTTTTGAGAGTTTTTGTGCAGTGGTTACGAGATTTGAAGGAGTGTTACTCCTCAAAGCGTCTTTTCTACTGGTCCCTGTGGTGGGCTTTTTCCACAGCAGGTTTTAACCAGGTTTTGAACTATATTCAAGTCCTTTGGGATTACAAGGCACCGTCCCAGAGCTCCACGATATATAATGGGGCTGTAGAAGCTGTTGCAACCTTTGGCGGTAAGTAGACTTTGATTTATCTCCCTTTGATGGGCTACCCCACCCCCATTACGTTCATTTCTCCAGTTGCTAAATGTCTCCATGGTGATAAATTAGCCCTGTTCAGAAGGCATATTAATCTTTTTCAGGATTAGAAGGCACTGGAAAAAAAAAAAAAAGAGGAACATGACATTTCTATTTAATATGTTATGGTTAGTAAGTCAAGAGCTCAGGATTAGCACCAAATGATTCGATTCAAGCCAGATTCCTGAGATCCCATTTCATCATCAGGAAAACTGTGAATAATGGCCCCTGTTCTTTCAGGATTGTTTTTAATATCAAAAGAAAAATAAGCATCTCATTTGTAAATAAGGAGTTTTCATTCTTTTAGAAAATGAACTGAGCTATGAAGACTTCCAAATGATCACTAGAATTTTTGTTAATAAAAGATTTCAGTTACCTAGTGCCCATCTTTAAGCAGTTCTAGGCTATACACCACAGATTTCTTAAAGTAGCTTTCTTATGAGATTTAAATCAGAAGTGGAAGTAATGTGGCAGTCAGGATTATAATATCAGAGGGAAATCTGCCTTTGAAGTTCACTCTACAATAAATATTTGTATCCTGGTAAATGGAAATTTAAATTCAACTAAGACTTTGAAGATATTTTCTAGGAAGCAGGAGATGTCCACACCCTCTTTTACAAAAATTTTCAGAAAACTCAGGTGGCATCCGTTTTATTATTGTCTCCCCTTTAGGAGACTTTAACTCCTAGAAACCAAGACTGTGCTGAAATTGGATCACTGAAATTATTTCTCCTACATTCCAAATGCTGGGAAGAAAAGTAACTACTTCTTCTGCAGTAATGGTTTCTGCCTAGAATACGTGTGGAAAAGTTAATTAACCAAGTCTCAGTAATTTGAAACATAAATACCTCTCATTTTGTTAAAGAGAACTAAAATTACCAACCCTAATTACTACCAATTATTCAGTCTCTTAAATTCTGTAAGTTGTTTCCCCAAAACTTCAAGTAAATTAAGCAAGAGCTTGAAGACTAACATTAAGGTGGAATTAGAAATAAGATTACGATTAAGAAAGATTAGTAATAAAGACTAGAAGTTACTACCCAGTGCACCTCTGTTACTTGTCACTGAGAAAAACAATAAAGAAAGGTAAATGTGGACAGGCCAGGTGGCCTGCCAGAAGAGCTGTTTCATCTTTATCCATCCCTGCGCTAAGCGCCTTGCAGTGACTGAGTTTATGTTCCATTTCTGACCACTCTGTCATGGTTAGGAACCCTCTGCATAGAAGAGTATTTGGCACATAGTTGATGCTAATTAAAAGTGTACCAGATGACTGGATAAAGAAGATGTAGGATACACACAAACACACACATATACACACAATGGAATACTACTCAGCCATTAAAAACTAATAAAATAAGGCCATTTGCAGCAACATGGAGGATGGACCAGATTGTCACTCTAAGTGAAGTAAGCCAGAAAGACAAAGAAAAATACCATATGATATCACTTATATGTGGAATCTAAAAAAAAAAAAAAGAGACGATTTACAAAACAGAAACAGAGTCACAAACATAGAAAACAAACTTATGATTACCAGAGGGGAGAAGGGGTGGGAAGGGATAAATTGGGAATTCGAGATTTGCAGATACTAATGACTGTATATAAAATAGATAAACGAGTTTATAGTGTTCAGCACAAGGAACTGTACTCAATATCCTGTAGTAACCTATAATGAAAAATAATCTGAAAAGGAATATATGTATGTATATAATATATATATATATGACTGAACTATTATGCTGTACACCAGAAATTGACATTATAAACTGACTATATCTTAATTTAAAAAATAAAATAAAAAATAAAAATTATGGCTGCAGTCCCATAAAAAAAATAAGCAAATAAACAAAAAACAAAGCTAGATTTAAATAAGGAAAGACTTTATCCAAAAAGATTATTACTCTAGGGACAATGCTCTGATCTCAGAAAACTACAAGTGTCTCAAAATCAAATAGAAAAAGGCTTTTCTTTATATAAAATAGATGAACAAGGAACTACTGTACAGCACAGGGAACCATATTCAATTTCTTGTAATAATATATAATGGAAGAGAATCTGAAAAGAAAATATATATATGTATGTGTATTTACAACTGAACCACATTGCTATATGCCTGAGACCAACATTGTAAATCAACCACATTTCAATAAAAAATTTAAAAAACAAACAAAAAAAGCCAAACAAACAAACAAAAAGTGTGCCACCTGAATGAAAGAACAGAAGGTAAAGAGAGAAGCCAAAGGAAAACATGGGTGAGAAAAGGATAGAAACCCCCATTTAGGTGGACCACACTATTTTCACGAATTGGGAAAGTGATATATTCATCTTTCAGAATTGCCTGAGACCTGAGTTCTTAGGAGAGCACGTTGCTGCTTCCCATGGGCAACGTCAATATGTTACCTCTTCCTTAATGTTCATTCTTCAGGGGCCGTGGCTGCCTTTGCTGTGGGTTATGTGAAAGTCAACTGGGACCTTCTGGGAGAGTTGGCTCTGGCCGTCTTCTCAGTTGTCAATGCAGGTGCCCTGTTTCTCATGCATTACACGACCAACATATGGGTGTGCTATGCTGGCTATTTGATTTTCAAGACGAGCTATATGCTTCTTATCACCATAGCAGTGTGAGTAGTACCAAGCACTTCTTTCCACTCCTAAAACTACACAGTACTCTCTTTTCTGTATTCCTGTAGTTCCTTTGAGAACTTTGGAAGGATTTTACTCAATTGCTTTATTAAATATTGACTACTTCATATTAAATTAGTTACAATTAAGCTATCTTTTCATTTAACTGTTTGTCCTCTGAATATTGCTAAGATTAGTCATCAGGGAAAACAATTTCTGTAGGTTCAAAAAGCAAAGGCAATAATACATTGTCAGGTTGTGATTTTTATTTCAAGCAGTTTGCCAATTTGCACAGTGTGGTACAATTTGATTTTGCATGATCAAGTTTAGATTTCATCTCTAATTTCACTTGGCTGCTTGAGTTAATTCCAAGCACATACTGTTGTATGAAACAAAATATTTGCAGCAGATACTTAAAATAGTAGATGCAAAGATTACAAGAAACTATAAAATCCCAGAGATCATTTTCCTCAATAATTAAAAACATTTGGTTCCATATATAAGAACAGAGAAAGTTCGGTATAGGTAATGTGCTTTTGTAACCAAAAGAGATAAGAAACATTTGAATTTCAGATCATTTGAAAGTAGAGCCAAAGCTTTATCAAGTTTTGGGTTTTAATTTCTGAAAAAATATGCTTGATAAGTAATTGACAAAACACAGAAGTATAAAGATCCTGAGAAAAGATCATGAAACAAAGGAAGGATGAAACTGTGGCAAGTTCATTTTTCTCACTGAAGGGTATCAGTTTAATATATCAAACTTATGTATCTTGAGTGTTTTTTTTTCTTTTGTTAAGGTTGGATGACATTATTTCTTTTCATCTTAAGAATCTTCAGAACCCAAAGCCTTTTACATGCATTCCAGGGAAGAACTGTCAATAACTTATATTTGCATCTTTCATAAGTGTTTTGTAATAAGATTTCAAAATCTATATAATTATAAAAGATAAATTAATTATAGATTCACTCAGTTGTACAACCAGTCTTGGTCTGGATCTTCCAAAGAATAATCCACCTACTAAACTTTGAAATTGTCATTAAAATGGATAATAAAAAAAAACTCTCTAAAAAACTCCTTAGGTTGGATGTTGCTGGCACTTCCATGAAAATTCACGATTGAAACAGTATCTAAAATCAAATAGCATCCCGTATTCAACAAGACACTGCTTTCTCTTCAGTTTCTGTCTTTTAAAGATAAGATATCCCATGTATCTTCTTGTTAAAAACAACAACAACAACAACAAAAAACCTTGTTCTGTGTTTCATGACAGATTTCAGATCGCAGTTAACCTGAGTGTGGAACGCTATGCCCTGGTGTTTGGAATCAACACCTTCATTGCCCTGGTGATTCAGACCATTGTAACTGTGATAGTAGTAGATCAGGGAGGACTGGGGCTGCCGATCAGCATCCAGGTGAGCTGCAATACTTCTGTTCTCTTCATATAGTTGGACGAAGGCAGAATAATGAGGTCATCTCAAGGGTGTTTTCAACCTTACCAGTACTTAATTTCTTTGAATTCTTTGGCTAGGCAAAATTTAAAAGAAGCCATTCCTTTAACTAACATACTGTAAAACCAAGTAGGTTTTGAGCAATGACAACTATAGGTTAACGTTTAGTGTTGGCCCCTAAAGCCTCATCAGGTAACTCTCTCGCCATTGTGTCCCCTTTATGTCTTCTCCTCCCATCATCCAGTACCAAGGTTTACTACGATGCAACTAGAAGGGGTAAAGGGCTGCAGAGTTTAGTTCCCTTTTCCCTACACCATTGAGAGACTTAAAATTGGCCCAATTTCACATTTTACATATAGATCTGAAAAAAAGTGGGGATAAGACAGGCAAGCAGTGACCTCAATGTCTAAAATTCGTTGCACAATTCTCCAAACACAGACACATAGATCAATGGGATTTAGTGTTTTTTTCCCTCTTGGTGATGTTTGCTAGACTTTGAATCTAAGCAACCCTGACCCCAGCGCCCACACTCTTAGTTACTGCGTTGCTTACACTTTCCTACCTGGTTCTTCTAAGATGGGGGAAGAAAGTACTGTGCAAATCCAAATGATCCATATTAAGATCCTGGGTCGCAGGTATTCCATGGGTCAAACAAATCAAAAGCATAACTATGTATTATCAATGACACAGATGGTCACATTGCATGTGTGTCTAATGAATTCTGTTTTTCTCTAGTTTTTAGTTTATGGGAGTTATTTTGCTGTCATTGCTGGCATTTTCCTAATGAGAAGCACGTACATTATCTACTCAGCCGAATGCCAAAAGAAAGTGCTGAGGTCTGCTACAAGTCAGACTCCAGATGGACCACATCCAGAAGATCCAAGGAATGTCATCATGGGAACAAAGCTCTAACCCATGTCAACCTCTATAGCCTCTGAGCAAGGACTGCTGGTCAACCACTACAGCCTCTGAGCAAGGACTGCTCTGAGCAAAGTCCCTGAAGCCCATTAATTGACACATTTCACAAGTCTGGATTCCAAGGAACCTTTCCAAAAGCACCACACAAGCTCAGCTTTAGACCAGATATCTGTGTGCCCCGCTAAATGGGATGCAGTCATCAGGGCCCATCATCTCAGTTAAATAATCCGTGTTGAGGAACCCCAGTGAATAGCGGTGGCTGGAAAATTCTGGTTCTGATTGCTTTCAAGGACATGCAAAGGCCTTGGAACCAAACCATGAGAAAACTCTAGCCATCTGAGAGTTGATGTTCCTCATTTGTGAGCAGAAATACTAACTGATGTGACCTTGTTGGCTTGGCTTAGATATTTGTTTCATTTTACCAAGACAGGCAACACAATGGACATTTTCAGTTGCATGAGCCATTGCCCTTCTTCTTCCGTTAAGTGTATTTCTTTGAAACTTACAGTTCTCTGAGAGAGTTATAAAGCTCTGTCCCACTTTTATGGACTCCTTTTCTCTCCTGACAACATAGTATTATTCCCAAGCTATTATTTGATAATATCAGCATTTAATTTTTTCACGATTACTTTTACTTTGTGCTCTGCTGAGCTTTGTTGTTGAAATTCTACCTCAGAAATAGCTCCAGACATTCCTGTGTGGCCACAGAATGACATTCATGTCAATTCCCAGTGGCTCCGCAGAGGCAATGAGCTTTCTCTTGTCATGACCCCAGATGTTTTAGAGTCATGTCAGTGTGATGTCTGTCTAAAATGAAAAACTTAAGTGGAAGTTTTTCAAGGGTTTCTAGAAGTATTTGTAAATAAGAAAATACTGATGGAGGGAACACCTAATTTTTAAATGGCAGAGATAGTGTTAAGTAAATTGATGTGTGCAAAAAATATTAAAGAGCCTTTCTGATTTTTTGATGAATTGTGCTAAAAGTTGTCTGAGTTTGTCTGTCCTTTGAAATGTCAATAGAAGTCTCATTGAGCCATCTGCCACTGGGAATAAAGAATGCTGATTCAAGATTTGTGTTTCAGATAGATTTTCCTCCAAATCTCAAAATTCAATCACTGGACTGAAAATAAAATTCAGTCTGAAAGCCAACACATTTATTTAGTGGAGAAAACGAATAATTAATTACATCAAAAGCAAGGAAAAAATGACCACTATTATCCTTCTTACTTATTGTACTGAAGGCATTAGCCAACACAATTAGACAAGAAAAAATATAAAAAGTCAAAAATTGGAAAGGAGGCTACAAGTATGCACCCAAGAGAGTCAATTAAAAAATGGGATAATTGCATAGAAAGTAAGTATATGGAAACCAAAAGCTTACATGATACAACAAGCATTTGGAAGATATATGGGAGTAAAAGACCACATTTATAGTAGAATAAAAATAAAATACCTACGATTACATTTAATCTACTTAATAATTTAATAAATTTATGTAATACGTAAATGAATATGCCTAAAAACACTTTTGGAGATTATGAAATAACACCTAAACATATGGAAAAGCCTACCTTGTTCTTGCTTAGGAATAAAAATATATATAAAGACAATCTTCCTAAATAAATGTGTATGTTAAACCCTATCCCAAGGGGGAAAAACATTTTTAATTAGTAAAGGTGATTTTAAATTTATTTGGAGAAATTAACACAGCATTGTAAAACAACTCTACTTCAATTAAAAAAAATAATAAATTCATTTGAAAAATCAAGAAAGAACCAAGAAATGCTTTTTTTAGTGGAAAAAAAATGAGATTAAATTATTTACAGAGAATTCAACCCTACTCTAAATTCTTACTATAATAACATTATCAACATGAAGAGACAGTCCGATGTAAGAAGTTCTGAATTAGTCCCTAATTCATATGGGATTTTAGACTATGATAAAGAGAGCATTTCATACAAGAAGAAAAAGATGGAATATTTAAGAAGTTTGGAATAATTTTTTTCCCAAAGGAAAAACTGAGTTGGACCCAAGAGTGCTAGAATAATGATCAGTATGTAATGATTATGTATCAATATGCAGATGTAAAAAATGAAACTGCAGAAGAACCAGAAGAAAACATGTAGGAATTGTTTCATAGCTTCAAAACTTTCTAAAGTAGCAGAAAACCTAGATGTCATAGGAAGGGAAATTGACAGCATAAACCTAGACTCATGCATGGGAAAAAACAGCATAAGCAAAGCGCAAAGACAAGTGATGATCTGGAAGAAACATTGCAGCTCCAGCTCATCAAAGCTACTTTCCCTAATTTATGTAGAACCAATCCTGACAAGATTGATAAGAAAAAAAGGTCAAAAGGATGTGAACAGGGAATTCAGAGAAAGGGAACTACAACAGCTCAGACATGTAACAGATGTTTAAATTATCTCATTAGAGATGTGTATTAAAACTACAATCAATGAAGTACCATGTTTCACCTATGAAAGTAGAAAACAGTCTAAATGTGTGATGACAGAGTTTGTTTTCTGGGAGTGGGTCAACAGGCAGTCTCAAAGGTTGTTGGCAGAAATGTACATTAGGTTTCATTGCTACAAAGAAAAATTCGGCATGTATATCTTTCCACCTATAGATTTCTCTGATTGGAATAAACACCACTGATGCCTGGTAACTGACTTGTATGAAAGGATTTTCATTACAGAAAAGTTTCTAAGCAGAAGAAAAATGGAAACTATTTAAATTTATTAAATGACAGGGAAAATAGATTATGGGACACCACTATATTTCACTTGTAATAATATTAACTAGATAAAAAAAGAGGAAAATCTTTGCATAGCAATAAAGGGCTCTAAAATATATTATTATTTAGTAAATAATAAAAAATTATTATGAAGTGGGAAAAAGTCAAGTGCAAAAATAATAATGAATGCAATCACTCACCATTTGTGTGTAAGTAAGGAAGAAAATATCTATATTGGTTTATGCACACATACAGCTTTTCTGGAAGAACCAAAATAAATAAATAAGTAACAGTGGGATTACGTGCTGTGGGTAATGGGAGATGGGAGGGAGGTATCTTCTGTTCATGACTTTTTATGTTTACGCATACAAATTAACCCCAGGTTAAAATACTAATTTTTTTAGTGTTTCACCTCTTGGGAAATAAATTAGCATGAAAGAATAAAGAGCCAGAGATTTTTTTATTTTTTGTACGTAACCATACTGATGTGTTTACATTTTTTTGGCAATATGCATTCATAAGTAAATGCGCATTTATAATTAAAAAAACAAACACAGAAGGAAAAATATCAAGTATTTTTAAATAAAAAAATTTGTATTTGGTATCTCATGAAAGAGAAAGATTATTTTTTAAAATTAAAATCTAGGTTTGCTTTGCAAGATTTGTGGTTGGTAAGAAAACCTCATGGAGAAATATCTAAAATGCTTTTTTTTCCAGAGTGAATTACATTTTTTTTTTTTCCAGAGCCTCTGAGGATTGAGTCCAGGACCTCGTGCATGCCAAGCACGTGCTCTACCACTGAGCCATACCCCCGACCCCTTTAAATGTTTTGTTTTGTACATAGAATGACTCGGAAACCACAACAGAAACAGAATTCATAGATAAATAACAGAAATAAGGGGATAGAGATGGTAGGCGAATAACCATTTATGAGAAGAGAAAAAAGAAAAGGTGATGGTTCTCGCTTTTTTGGCCTTGGCCCTTTGCCTACATTTAGGCCTTGACTTAGGTGAGACATTTAGATCTGGTTTGAGGAAGCTGTCACTGAAGAGGCATGCAATGCATTTTGACAGGTGAACAGGGTCACAGGGCCTTTAAGGATAAGGCACACAAGGCAGCGGGTGTTGAAACACCTGAGGGAATCCCTGATCTGGTGAGATGGGAGATGGGCAGGTGGCTGGGAGGCCTGGGCTCCACAGGCCCTGGACAGGCATTGCAGTCACTGCACGTCTGTCATTCAACTTAATTCGAGAAGTCAGAAATCTCTTGCTGCCATAGCAGAATACAAGCAGAATCCCTGAGGGGTTGTTCTCTATATTTTATTTTAATTTAGGACATTTAGGTAGTAGCTATGTGGTGACTGGAAACAACAGTTATAGTCCTAGAACGAGTGAGAGTAACAGACTCAGGCTGCGCACAGACGCAGAGAGGCAGAAGGACCGGGTTGGAAGGCTGCATGAATACCCATCAGTTACAACACTCAGAATCGCGGGCCCTTTGCCCAGGTTAACATTTTTGTAATGGTCGTTTCCTGTTTATTTGTCTTTTGTGTTTTGGTTTTTGGGTGTTTTTTGTTTGTTTGTTTTCAAGTAAAACGGTTTAAGACCATCAGGTTAAAAGAGAGAGGCACAGAGTTTAAAAAGATATTGTCCAAAAGAGTGAGTCCCAGGAGATGCAGGTGACATGACATGGGAGGAACGGAGAGACTAGATGGAGGAAAGTCAGTTCCCAGCAGAGAGCGGCTCCCAGCCTCTCCCTCCCTAGAAGCAGGGCCGGGCAGGGCAGCCGTCTTGCAGCCACTGTCGTGCTGACAGCAGCCCTTCCCTCAGCCGCAGCCAGAGGAGTTGCAGCCACAGGTGCGGCAGCATATGCTTCAGTGTCTAGACAATGCCCTGACAGCTTGGCAGTGGAGGGAGGTGACCCAGGGCGACTCAGAAGCTGGGCAATCATGGGTACTGGTGGCAGGAGAAGAAGAGATCAGAACTCACCCAGAAAGGGATAAAAACAGTCAGAATTGTGGAAAGGTAACTGCTCTATTTGCCAACCTCCTGTCTTTCTCAACAACGGGAGAGGACAAGGGATGGTTTGATTTGGTATTTTGATGGAGCTTCAGAGGAATTTGTTTTATTCAAGCAGTCAGGCTACCCAGCTTCCCGTCCCTGTGCACTGATGACTTCGGGAAAGATACTTAACATTTTTTGTACCTCAGTTTTCTCACCTACAAAATGGGGACAAGAGTGGTCTTAATTCATAGGAC